CTCGGGACTTTCCCACTGGTCTTGACTGCAGCTGCTGATGATAAGTAAGCAAAGCAGGTTCTGAGGATTTAGGAAATAATAGATGGAATATAAATGTAGTCAAATAAGAAGACTGTAAATAAAACCCCTCAGACTTCAATGTTGAAATACATTCACATCAGATTGAAGTGGACCTCAGTGTCAGTAAATGACTCTGACCTGGGCTCTGATCCTTCTCCAGGCATCAGGCTGAGGCGAACAGGAGGATCATTGTTGTGTAATTCGCACAATTCCAATTTCTGTGCCTCTGTTCTCTCTTTGGAGAGGTCGCTCTCAGCCAGTTGTTGCGATGTGGCGTCTCAAATTAACCTAACCCCAATCTACGTGCCTTTGTGTTGTGGGAGGAAGTGCAGTGGGAGGAAAAAAAAGCCAGACAAACACAGGAAAAACAGAAAATGCTTCTGCAGAACCTGGATTTGAACCAGCAGAGAAGGCTGTGGTTGGTGACAGCCCTCACCACTGTACCACCTGCCCACTGTTTGGAAACGACCACAGTGTAAACAGGTTTTCTCCAGCCGTCTGCTGTTGAACCAGGAGAGAGTGAAAACCAGTTAGTATTCCTTTTTTTTTTTTTTTATTCCCAGTGTTAATATTTTCATAATGGTAGTCTTACTGCCTGATAATCAAAGCCACATGTGGAAGTAGACACGTGTGATACAGCTGTGGGGGAGGCAGTGAGCCTAATATCAATGAGGTAATAATTCAAATAAAACCAGAAATGTTGGATCACAGCCTGGACGGTTTCCTGATCCACCTCAGCGTGGCTCAAACTCTGCCACGGCCCCGTACAGAGATCATATAGCAAGTAATTACAGGCTGAAAGTACGTACAGTAAATGAGTATTCCTGCAAAAGTCTGAGCAAAAATAGACACAAACGGAGCTTGGGTTAAAGAGAGAGAGAGTGTGTGTGTGAATGAGCAGCCATGACTATGTGATACACACACACACACACACACACACACATACTCCATTGACGGCCGCGGCCGCAGTTCTTCACGTACCAATGTCGTCACATGACCCTGTGGTGGTCGTTCTAATGGTGGTCAGTGATGTCATTCCTCAGAGTAATTCTTTCCTGTGCCATGAAATAGGCTCTCATTTATTCAGGCTGACTGGACCAAAGGAGTCTGGAGGGTCGTTGTTCCCTCTCTCTCTCCCTCTCCCCCCTCTCTCTCTCGCTCTCTCTCTGGTGGTCTGAAAATATGGTACAATTTCATTTGTAAAGTAATGGTGGTGGTCATGGTTAGGGTTGTCAACAGTCACATGTTCAGTTATGGGATTGATCATTTTAACACATTTAAACCCCCACAGAAAACGATGTTTGTTTGGACTAGCTTAGCACCATTAGCTCACATTATCATCTCAACTCCCCCTAATGTGTGTGGGAGACTTCAGTCTCAGCTCAGACCCCGGCAGTGAGTCAGGCCACGGCTGATGACTGTGAGAAACTGTGGAGGTTTTGATATGACTAAAATCTAACCAGGTCTGTGAAGCTAAAATTTAAGAATCGTTTACATGATTTTTCTTGACATTTTTCCATCATAAAACTGGTGTGAAATACGCCTGCTGTTATTTAAAATAATTTAATCTCAAAAACATCACCCAGACAGAGACAAACAGCCGAGCTGCTAAATTTCCTAGAATGCTTTTTCAGAGGAATCATTTTTGAAAGCTCTGAGGAATGTTCTGATGGTTCTAACGGAGAGAGCTGATGACTTGTGCACATGGTCTGGTGGAGGGGACGCTCCAGGTGCCTGAGTGTCCCACGTACAGTGACCGCTGTAAGGCTAACGATGACAGGCTAACAGCATGTGGATCAGGGCTTCTCTCTGTGACTGTCGTTGGCGTTCAGTGTTCCAAAGCTGCTGATGCGTTCACACACACCCCGGGACTGTTGGTCCTGTGGCTTGGACTGCAGCAGGGTCAGCTTTACTGCTGTATATATAGATACTGCTTATTACTGTGAGGAGAGAGAGAGAGAGAGCGACCACAGAAGTCCTAACTACCAGTGGAGCAACATGTGGAATGTGTATTGTTTCAAAGGAAAGAACGGAAGTGTTTCTTATAATAACTCCCACCTCTTCTCTTTTTCAGCCATATGAACAAGTCTGGGTTCACACAAAAAAACCCCAAAGAATATATAAATGATGGAGGACATTCCTGTCCTCCAGTGTGTTTGACATTTAGGACACAGGGTGTGGTGAGGAGAAGGTCTGCATCTGAGCCTGCTGCCCAGAGGAAGGAGCTAACACAAATCACTGTCCATCTTCAAAGGTGCAGTTCACAGCATGTAGACCAGAGTGTGTGTGTGTGTGTGTGTGTGTGTGTGTGTGTTATAACTGGGTACAAGGACATCAATCACAAGCAGGTATTAAAAAAAAAAAAAAACTCTTCAAGAGAGAAAAAAAAGAGCCGTTCCACCAGGATAACAGCTGCAAAACTGTTTTGGTGAAGACAGATTTATTTTTTAAACTAAACTTTAGATTTATGATAAATGGCTGTAGAATAAAGTACAGTGCAGTTTTTTTTAAAAAAAGTTTTATAATGTAATGCAAATGTAAAGAGAAATTAACCTTAAGAACATCAACAACATCGATGATTTTCTATCCATCCATCCATCCATCCATCCATCCATCCATCTGTCAGTGTCGGCTCAAATGTACTGTGTCGCCCCCTATGTTGAATCAACCAGTCTCTGCCTAGTACTAGTTCTGGTAATCTGATTAATCACAGAGTTGCTATGATGATTAATAATGATTAATCATCACAGCAAATTGTTTGTTTTGAGGTTTATATATATATAAAATATGTCAACTATATAAACTATATATATATCTGTGTGTGTTAATGTGTGTGTTTATATATATGTATGCATATAATTATCTCACATTATTTCATAAGATAATGTATTCATAAATGATTTCCCCCCAAACGTTCTTCTGTTTTCACAGATCATATCTCTGGTAACCATGTAATAACCACACACACGCTGGGTTTTTCTACCTGGGCTACAAACACACACACACACACACACAAAGACGAGACCACAGGAAGCCTGAAAAAGCTCAGGGTTTTGTCACAGTGGCTGAAATAACTGAGGAGACTAAAAATAAAAGTCAGTCATGCAAAAAACTGATCACATGTTGCTTTGACCGGGGAGGAAATATTTACAGAAATAAAGTTTAACTTGGTTTTACTTTAACTTCATTTTATTAACTTGTTTAGTTTTGCTGAGCGTGACAGGTCTTTTTTGTTCCGAACGCTCTGACGTTCTTATTTTATCTTCGAACATCAGATGAATCGGTCAGTGATCCGTCTCCACTCTCTCTACAGTAATGAACGTCACAGAAACAACAAATACAACAAAAACAGAACTGATAGTTTTCAGTTCAGTTTGAAGTGAAAACTAGTTTAATGTCACCGAAAACTTAGCCTTGACATAATAACTGGGTTTTTAAAAGGTGTCAAACTCTCCGATGTGCAACCCCATATTCTCCCCCCAACACCAACCCCTCCACCCCCGCCCAGCTGCGTAGCCCCCTCATCTAACCACGTGTCAGATCCTGAAACCAACCTAAAACTGTAGACCCTTCCCCCTCTGCTGATTGGCTGTTTAAGAATAACCTCAGGTGAACATTTCAGTGAGGTCAGGACTGAAACACAGAGTGAAACAGGACGAGTTATGGTAAATGTAATTTGGATTTTCAAGATGAAGTTCCTTTTTTGGTAAACAATAACTTCCTGGAAACTTGGGTTGGATGATAAAAGAAAAAAAAAACTGTTGCTAGAAACTGAACGAGACAGAAATACATCAGCCGACCTACATCAGAGAACAGGAGGTCACCATAGTTTGAGTCTTTAACAAGTCTTTAACAAGTCTTTAACAAGTCTTTAACAAGTCTATGTGTCTACAGTTCTTCAGTTTAACAACAAAAACCTCCCATGAGTCACAGGTTTAATGAAATTTAAATGTTTTCTGTTTTTTTGTAGAATCAATGGATAACATTGTCTAGGACAACGACTTCGCTAAAGATTTGAAAAGTGCAACTCTGATTGGATGAACAGTATTAAGGTTAAGGTGGACTGAAGAAACTGTTGACTAATGATTCAATGACTTGAATGACTGGTCAAGTCAAAAATATTCTCCATCAGCAAAAAAATAAAAGGTTTCAACAACAGCTAGGGGTCAGTCTTTGTCAGCAGTGAGAGGTTTGGTCAGAGATTATCAAGAAAATCAAGGTTAAAAAGAAGATTCTGAGAGGAGTAGTCTGTGGTTGTGATCGGTGGAAACTGCTGCTGAAAGTGTGTAATCTTCAAGGCTGCGTCACATTACAAACAGATAACAGAGACGTTCTCAGAAACAGAGCAACAAAAAGACAAGCAGTTTAGTTTTATATGTTGATTAACTTTATATAATAGTTTCATTTGAAGATTTATTCCACTTTTTGTTCTCGGCCTCTCAGTGTCGTTGAATGTCTTGATAATCCAGTTCCTGAGACTTCAACTGAGCTGTTTTATTGTCACTGAACATGAACGCTGCTCCTTGGAAATGTATTATAGTGACACTTCAACCAAGTCCTTACAGTTAGAGTTGTAAGTCAAACTCTTTTTACCACGTCATCAGCAGGATTATTAATGCCAGCTAATGCTACATGCTACAGAACGGCTGGTGACCTTGTCCTCTGTTCACTGTCATGTTCTGTATCAAACACATCAGACGTACCTAGAACACAGAGTCTGAAGACGTGGTGCCGTGTGTGCGTCTCACTTCTCTCAGCCTTCTTCCTCATTCAGATACAGGAAGTGAGTTTTTTGTCACTCATATGTAGAACGGTCGACACACTCCTGGGCCGGGCGTTCTGCACTAACTCTCCTTCAGCAGCTGAGAGCAGCAGCGACAATGTCAGGCCTGGTCTGTTGCCTCATGTCCGATGTCTGATGTCAACACAGCAGGTCGGTGTCTTCATTTCCATCTTCTCTACAGCAGATCATCAAAAGAACTCTGATCTTTCCACACTGTCAGAACGTGTGCTTTTATTATAATGAGTCTTTGAGACATGAAATGCACCTGTGAATACAGTCATGTTAGTTAGTGTTAGTGTGATTTCAGAGAGAACGCTCCAGTGGACGTTCGTATCATCTCTTGTGTCAGCTCTGGTACTGTGAGCTGACACAGCTGAGTGGTGGTTCACTGGGAGCTGGTAGGAAGTTACAAACTTTGCAACGTTTTGGCAACAAGAGGTTTAGTGGTTTTTCAAAGTTGTCACTTACAACTGCAATAAGTGCAGACTGAGACATTCGTTTCACTGCTCTAACTTCAGGTGGTGGTGCAGCTGGAGGATGGGGAACATGATGAGAGGCAGTGGAACGAGAACCAACAGAAACGACAATCAAACATCACACAAGAGTGAGTTTGAAAACATGACTGTTTTTGCTGATTTCTTCTTACCTGCAGCTCTTTTTCTGAAAAGCAAAATAATAATTTACTAATAGTATTGTCAACATTTCTCATGTGTTTGAACTGTACGAATGAAAAAATCTGTCCGTTTAAATTCAGTTGATTAAATGGTGTTTAACTTCAGCTTCTCCCACCGCTGCAGCTCTAATGATATTTGCAAGTAATAATCATATAACAGATAAATTATTTTAATTATTAACAAAAAGTATCAATACTGCTGATGTCATTTTGCTTTATTTTAAAATGCAATTTAATTATACAATTAATTATTCTTTTTATTTTTAATTAATAAGTGTACCATCTTTTTGTTTCATCTTTAAAACAGAAATAATGTGCTTTTCAAACACAAGTTTACAGGACATTACAGGACAAAGTTAGTGAAAATGATCATGTAAAATAATAATTAAAAAACCCAGAATTGATCAATTTGACAGGAGTCTGTAATGATGACAATATTTAAACATGATGGATATTTATCAGCAAAAAGTTGCGGCTGAAGAAAAGAAGAAGTTTATGTATTTTTGAAATAGACAAAGTTTCCAAAACTCTTAAAAGAGTTATGAATCCTGTTTATTTTAATATCATTTATAACAAGTCAAACAGTGAAGTGACCAAACCTAGAAGTATATAATCATGTCTGTAACTTTTGCGAACATCATCATCGGTGGATGCCTCAGGGTTTGTCAGATCCTGTAAATCTTTACAGTTACAGCTGAAACTCATCCAATATTTCGACACCAAATTCTGTTGACTGTCGGACAAATATGTCAAAACGTTCCATCGACTGATCGTTTCCTTGTTGTGGACACGTCTGTTTTCAAACCCATGTTATCGTGATGTTGTTCTCAGGGTTGGACGAAGACATTTTGGCGGTCGTGCTTCAGGACTACCCGTCTCCTCAAATCAGCGAGCCCACCTACAGGATAGGGGAGAAACTCAGAGTCCTTGAACGGTACGGCCGTGTTTGACAAACGCACCCCTGTGGTGAGAATGTCAAACAAAAATGAAGAATTAGAGATGGAATGAAGAAGTGCCTAAGGGTCAACTTTTAATTCCGTCTTTGTCTTGTCATGAACAGCGGGGACTACTGGTGGAGAGTTTGTTCTGTGGGAACAGGAAAGGAGAACTACATACCCCACAGTCACGTGGCCACAGTCTACCATGGGTAAATCAACCAGCACTACTGTTCAAAGTGCGGTGGAGTGTGTGTGAACGTACACTTCACGTCAACCGTGTCTTTTTCCGACACCTGAACATCAGTGGTTTCGATGTCAGATGCCGTCATTATTGGATGATTCAGGTTTGTTTTGTTTTTTTGCAGTGGAAAATGAAAATGAATCTGTTCTTGTTTTTCTGTAGCTGGCTTTACGAGGGGGTGCAGAGAAAAAACGCAGAGGAGCTGCTGCTCCTACCTGAGAACAAAGTGGGTTCTTTTCTGGTGCGGGAGAACATGAAGGAGCGAGGTAGCACTGAAAAAAAAATTACTTTTTAAGTTTTTAACAAAACATGTTAAGGAATGATGTTCAGAGGTTTTATCATTACATCTAAGAGTTGAAAGTTTTATTTTATTTAGCTGTTGCTCGAAAATAAATCAATTTAAAATCTGAGCAAAAACAACTTTGATTGGAGACATGGTAAAACTTGAAGCGTTGCAACATTTTTAGTACAAGCTTGGACTGATTTTTGTTTCCATTGTTTCCAACCCTTTACACTGGCTATAGACAAAGTATTCTATAAAAAAAATCATAAGGCATAAAAATCTATTGCATAACACTTGGCTTAGTCAATTAAAATGTACCATGTCATTTCCAGCAGTGACCTTTGACCCTTGACCTTGTTCATGTTCCTCTCCTCAGGCACATACTCACTGTCAGTGAAGCACCAGGTCATCAAGCACTATCGAATCCACAGACTGGACAACAGCTGGTACTTCATCTCCCCTGGTCTCACCTTCCAGTGCCTTGAAGACATGATCAGCCACTACTCTGGTGGGTGGAGGCAGCAGTACACACACACACACACACACACACACAGCTCATGCTGCGCACAGACAGAGCCGTCTGATCATGTGCGCTCATTCAGTCGACGCCCCAAAAAAACCTGCATCTAAAACGGAACTGTTTCTTATCAGTTCTCTATATTTTTTTTTACACACAGGCAACTTCCTGCCGTGACAAATCATTTTGATAGAAAACACCTCAGTCACTGAGCGCCTGCCTGAGGTGACGATGGTTGATGACTTCAATGTTCTTATTCTGTTTCTATTACCGGAAAACATTTCTTCATTTGGTAGAAATTCCTGACCGGACGTTTTGTCCCAGTGACACCACGACCTGACCCACCCTGATGATGTCACTTCCTGTAGTCACACCAACCTGTTGATTTTTCCAGAAGCTGCAGATGGCCTGTGTTGTATGTTAACTTCACCTTGTTTGTCCGGCACGGCGACGCAGTGGGATGCCGAGCCCATAGCGCCACCTGTGGTCATGAGACGAAACTTTGACTGGAAGAAAGTGGACAGGTACTTACTCTGTCGACACAAAAGGGCTTATTTTATTTTTGTTGGTGTTTTGAATGTAACAGAGAATAAGAGAACATTCAGATAAGAGAAATCAGATGCTGCATATTGTATTGAAGTAGACCAGGTGGAGGCGCTATTGCTCAGTGGTTAGTGCAGGTTATGTGTTATTTAGAGGGTAACGTGGTCTGCAGGTCTGTATGCACATACTGTTAGGCTGGACACAATCATCCAAGTTTCCTATTCCTATACGTAGCCTCTAAAGCAGTGGTTGTCAAACTTGGGGCATGGTCCCCTGTGGGCCATCAGGGGTGCTAGGAGGGCCGCAGAAAATTTCGGTCAAGGATAAGAGAAAAAAAGCACAACAAAATGATCTGTGCAGCCCTGCTAGATGCTGTTTGGAGGGGGGCTCTAAGGTACTGTGTATCTTATTTCTGTGGCTGTCCTCTGATTCCAGGAACCAGCTGGTCAGCACCGACAGCTGCAGTGACAGCATTGTGAGCTACGGCGTCAGAAACAGCATCGCCGCCTACCTGTCCCTGTCTGAGGACCAGGACCATCCCAGGACACGCACGAAGGACAGGAAACGGAAGTGCAAAACGGTTTATTCTTTCCCTGAACACAACCTTGAGAACAGTGACATCTGAAGGTGGCAGCAAAAGACCACGTCTTTATCCAGTGCCGTGCTGCCATTTGAACTCGTCCAATTATAATGAGGGACCCAAAGCTGTAGAGGACAATAGTGCAATTTTAATATGAATAATGACTTCTCCCTGCATTAACTCAGAACTTACTATCTGTACATGAAGTTCACGTTGGAAAAAAAAAGGTGCGCCCCCACCCCCGCCCCGCCCCCACCTGTTTATTCCTCTGACAATCTCAGAGGAAGTGAAACTGTTCCGTAGTCACTTCCCAGGTTACAGTTACCGTAAGTTACGTGCAGGAAGTGTGTGATGAGTCAAGACGACCTCGGTACGTTCTCCTCAGGTAAAGACAAGCTGGGTTGAAAGTCTTGTAAAATAGGGGAAGTGTGTGTGTGCGTGTGCGTGTGTGTGTGCTGTTATTTATGCATTTATTTTTTCAGAAGATACCATTGTTTTGCGGACATTTTTTGGAGATGCTCAACGAGTATTTTAAGGGTCAAGATCTAGTTTGGAGTTAGGATTAAAATTACAGTCAAATTACAGTAAAAGTAATGATTGGAGTTAGGCATATTTCCCTGGGTGGTTAAGGTAAAAGGCCAGTAGCACACAGAAAAGTGTGTGTGTGTTTTTAATGGAACAACTGCTGCTCCATCCTGCAGTGACTGGTGTAGAGTCAGCATTAGTCACTCACGACTCCAACTGCGTCTCCTCACACGTGGAACCACACTGGAAAATAACTGTAGGATTAACCCTCTGAGGGACAAATGACCGTCAAACCTACGGAAGTCAAACCTAAGGGAAGCTGTTTCGTTTTTGGGGACAACAAACACGCCCAGAATAAACAGGACTTCCTCCCCCTCCTCCCACTCCTCCCCCCGGTCCATCTGTTCATCCATATTTAAGCAGGAGGATCTAAAAACAACAGCTACTCCCTGGGACCGTGCAGCATCCAGGCCAATATCAATGTAGACCAGGAAGAAGATGCTTGATCACGCTTCCAATCATCACATCTGTGTGTGTGCAGTCAAAACAACAGCTCTCAGTGGGGTAATGGAAGGATGAGGTTTCAGCTCAGACTCCAGAAGAACCAGACGCCCACACAGATGTGTCTCGTCTCACACCACCAAAGGTCACGAGGTGACTTTATGCTGAGACAAAGGGGTTTCAAATCAGAGTTTGGTTTGATCTTCCCAGGGACGGACGCACCAAGAAAAACACGGCACTCGACCTGAACCAATAAGGAGACGGAGAGTTCGGGGACTTTATTATAAAAGACAAGGACAGAAAACAAAGAAGAAAAATTCCTTCATACTTTGTTGTTGATCAGTCTCAGCTCTGCCTTCTCCACCCGTGTAATGTTGCTAATTAATAATATGTTTGGCTCTGTGTTTCTGTGAGGTTCAATCTAGTCAGTATTTCCTAACCAAACAAATCAAGATCAGCCTCAGATGTTCATTTTTCATCAGAGAACTAGAATTTCAAATTTGGTACACTTTGAAAATTCAAAGAAATTCCTCCAACCCCCCTTCCTGTTTTGCCCACGGAGCCAATGAGTTAAACTGATTTTAAATCATGACATTGACTCTGCATTTGACAAATAATCAAACTGTAAAAAGTGACTATTTCTGACTCTGTATTATTGTCCCTGTCTGCCAGCTCCTACTGATGAGTGAGTGGACAAATGCAGAGTCTTACTGCTCTGCAGTTTTGGAAACTTTTGACATCACTCACTGCTGCAGTCGTAAAGATGTGCTGAGCATCCTGACAAGGTGGAAAAGGTGGGAGGGAACCTTTTCCACTGTCGGCAGGGCAGGACCACTTGGTTCTTAGCCTCAGGGAATGAGTCGTTTAAAGGTGAACCGGCGACCAGAGCCAAGAGACACATTCAAGGACGTCCAGACAGCAGGAGAAAACAAACAAGATGTGGAACAACACTGTGGAAAAAAATGACTTAAATTCAAGGAACATTCAGGGACTTTTTCACCTTTACACCAGTGACATTCAGTGTCATCACCAGGGTGTAAATCACTGACGGGTGACAAACAAACAAACAAACAAGACAAGGACCCGAGGGTCAGGCAGAACTGAATCAGTTGTTCTGGGAAACAGTTAAATAATTTTTATTTGGATAAAAAGCAACAACATGTTTCAGCTGTGGCTGATCAGCCAGCTGAGTCTGAGCCAAGACGATCATGTCGGCAGCGGGGCTACAAGGAAACAGCGGAGGTAGAAAGTGGAGTGGAGGACAATTTGAAGCAGCTGTCTGCCACGTGTCTGCTCGCAGAAAAATCATTAGCCGTTCCCTGCCGTGTCTTATGAGGCCATTTCTTGGTAAACCTAAATAATCCCAGTTGTTTTCTTCTTATATGGGCAACGTAACTTTAGAGACCTGTCAGGTTTCACCGCCGTGACATGAGGTCAAACCATCAGATAATATCCAGGTAAAGACAAAAACAAACATAAAAGTTTTGAGGAAGTTTGTGTTATTATTTAATTTTGACTTCCTCTTTTTATTACAGAGAAATGATGACGTGAATTAGTGAATTAGTTTGTATTTAATTTGAAACCAGGATCAAGACAGAAGAACTCTTACTGAAGAAGAACTATTATAATGAATATTCTTAGTGTTTAAGGAGGCGGACTTGGGTCTGGAAAGCTTCAGGTTTGAGTACAGCAGCTTCCAAGTTACCACTGAGGTGCTCTGAGCATGGCACCGTCCCCACACACTGCTCCCCGGGCGCTTAAAGCTGCCCACTGTTTACTTTGGTGAGGGGTTAAAAGCAGAGGTCACATTTGGTTGTGTGNNNTTAAAGGTGAACCGGCGACCAGAGCCAAGAGACACATTCAAGGACGTCCAGACAGCAGGAGAAAACAAACAAGATGTGGAACAACACTGTGGAAAAAAATGACTTAAATTCAAGGAACATTCAGGGACTTTTTCACCTTTACACCAGTGACATTCAGTGTCATCACCAGGGTGTAAATCACTGACGGGTGACAAACAAACAAACAAACAAGACAAGGACCCGAGGGTCAGGCAGAACTGAATCAGTTGTTCTGGGAAACAGTTAAATAATTTTTATTTGGATAAAAAGCAACAACATGTTTCAGCTGTGGCTGATCAGCCAGCTGAGTCTGAGCCAAGACGATCATGTCGGCAGCGGGGCTACAAGGAAACAGCGGAGGTAGAAAGTGGAGTGGAGGACAATTTGAAGCAGCTGTCTGCCACGTGTCTGCTCGCAGAAAAATCATTAGCCGTTCCCTGCCGTGTCTTATGAGGCCATTTCTTGGTAAACCTAAATAATCCCAGTTGTTTTCTTCTTATATGGGCAACGTAACTTTAGAGACCTGTCAGGTTTCACCGCCGTGACATGAGGTCAAACCATCAGATAATATCCAGGTAAAGACAAAAACAAACATAAAAGTTTTGAGTTTGTGTTATTATTTAATTTTGACTTCCTCTTTTTATTACAGAGAAATGATGACGTGAATTAGTGAATTAGTTTGTATTTAATTTGAAACCAGGATCAAGACAGAAGAACTCTTACTGAAGAAGAACTATTATAATGAATATTCTTAGTGTTTAAGGAGGCGGACTTGGGTCTGGAAAGCTTCAGGTTTGAGTACAGCAGCTTCCAAGTTACCACTGAGGTGCTCTGAGCATGGCACCGTCCCCACACACTGCTCCCCGGGCGCTTAAAGCTGCCCACTGTTTACTTTGGTGAGGGGTTAAAAGCAGAGGTCACATTTGGTTGTGTGCAGTCACAATGACAAGTAGTTCACTTTACTTTCCTTTTATATTTATTGTTCCTTACACATTAAAGAGTCGCCTCCTGTCCCATTCCCTGGGCTAAATTTGGGAACAAAGTTCTCAAGTCAGCCTTGGTTCATTTGTTGGTTCAATGTACTGTTTAGAAAAAGCTACATCATGGTGGTTTGTTTTGTGTTTCTGCAGAAACATGCTAATGAAGGCAGCTCTTCAGCTGTGGTCTGAAGACTCTTACAAAATAAACCTTAGAGCTCCTTTATCTCAACAACTACGTGCTGCACCCTGCAGATATCATGGAGGATATATGGAGGAATATATATGTATATTTCTGTATCTATAGTTGTCTTTAATCATTTCTATTTTTTATTATTATTATTTTATTCTGTCAACATTACATTTCCCCGTTGTGGGATAAATAAAGTTTCATCTAAGTTAAAGAAATTAGACAATTCTTCTCATTATGTTAATGTTGCAGTACTACATCATGTGAAGTACTTTTTCAGAATGGTCGATGCAGTTGTGTTTTTGGGAAACTGCCAGCAGGCTGACACTAAGAGTAATTATCAGGAAGGAACTTGAGATAAGTAAAGATGGATGGACTGGAGGAGGAGAGTGAATATTTGTCTCCCGGGCAGGAGTTCAGATATGATTGATGGAACCAGAAGTCTTGAAGTACTGCGACGGCTCTTCTAGTCTTAGCCTGGACATTGTAGGTCCTACCAGTGACGGTGTAGTGTCCTGTCCGCTGTTGAAACAAACCAGCTCACAGAAAACCACTTCCTGTTGTTTACACATTTCCACGGGCGGAGCAGAGAATGACGCCACCACGGGGTGAAGACCTAGCATTTCTCAAATGCTGTCAAAAGACACCGCACATTTTTGTGCAAAAATGTTTCGACACAAAACATCACAGTGGTGTACGAGTGTTTCGACAAGTAGGGAGGGAGACGTTCTGAGGCAACATCTGCTGCCAGGGACATTTGATCCTTTTCTTTCAAACTGTGGACACGTTTGCTAAACACTGATGTCTTTTTAGACTTTATCTGAAGCAGATGTCTGATGCTCACTACCTGCCAGTCCACGATGTTTATAGTACACTCACTAAAGTGAGTGAGTTTGTTGTTGAGGGAAATAGATTTGACCAGGGACACAGACATGTGACCTTTAAACTGGAGTGATTAGTCAGTTAGCTTAGCATCAGCATTTCCTCAACTGTCTATAGACGTACACCTTCAAAAGAACAAGGAAATAGATAGATGGATAGATAGATAGATGGATAGATAGATAGATAGAGAGAGTCTGGTCTGATCATGACATGGTGACAACAAATGCAATTACAAAGTCATTAATTGTTTACTGCTTTACTTGTGGTATATCTGCTAGACTAAGCACCACTAGATGTGAAAGATTCTCTAGGGAAGAGGGTTTGGCAAAAGGGAACAGATCATAAAGTTGATTTACACACACACACACACACACACACACACACTCATTTTTGGATCCTGAGCCTCGTGCTGTCTTTCACTGAAAAGCTCTGATGTAATTGATTGAACTTTTGGCCTCTGATTACAGTGAACACAACTTTAGATAAGTGGGTGTGGGAGCCATTTAGAAAAAAAGAAAGTTGCTCTTCTGATAGACATGTCAACTCAGTAACCCTACATGGACCCGCGTCACTCCCACAGCCCAGTTCCTTCTGCAAGTTTCTGTGCCGTGCACATTCCCTGGGTGACATCTTAATCAAAGTTCATCCAAATCAATACATGTTTTACCCCAGAATTGATCGGTAATTTGAAGAGTTCAAGCTCAAAGGTTATTTTATATTGACTGACTGCAATTGTCAGCATTTCACAGAATCTGTTAAACACCAGTAGTTCTCTAGCAGGGGTCGCCAACGCCTCACTTACCAGCTGGCAATAGCTCGACGCCCCTTTCCAAGGAGTTCGCTAAAGGCTAATGAATCAAACAAACAAACATTTATAAACTGGATTTTCCAATCAAAATGGACACTTGTCCCGCCCCCTTTCAAAAACCAAATGTTTATTTGTCATTTAGCTATCAATCAAAATTTGCCGTCAACCTTGATTCGTCAGTGTTGATGAGTGATGAGCTGCAGTCATGATGGTGACAGGTGTCCAAACCAACAAGGGGATTCAGTAGTCGCTGTTGTTGGACACAGGGAGTTGGTGATAACCTACCTAGACAAGAAAAAACAAAAAAAACCCACTTCTGTTCCTTCAAACAACTCTCTCAGTCTGCATGACAACACTGAAATATCTCATCTGTCTCTCCTGCAACTGCCACAGACTCCCCCACCAATAGAAACCCTTCAGTTTTCTGATCCTGGCTTCACCCAGATGTGTGCCGTCCAGATAATGATGAAAACCACATGCTGCAGCGTGTTTCCTATAAGCCCTGCTGGAATTGTCCTTTTTGGAGACAGCGTCTCTCTTCCTTTTGGCACAAGAGGACACCTGAAGGTTGGACATCTTCCATGTGGAGGATGCAACAGTCACAGCCAAACAGCAGGACTGAGAGAAACAGCGGGTCACTGTGGCAGTAGCTGACGTGGAGCAGGAGTGTGTGTGTGTGTGTGCCTGTATAGCTGGAGACACTGGAGATGCCTGCCTAAGAGCCAGCAAGTGAACCTCTAAGTTGAGTCTTCAGGACGAGGAGTGTTTTATTCCAACAGTGCGCAGTAATGAGAATGAACTCAGCCTGACAGCTACACTCTTGCACAATGGACAAAATAAACACACTCTGTGTCACAATCCACAGAGTTCATCTGGAAGCTACAGTAACAGGAGGAGGTTTAGTGTCCAGCGCAGTAACAATGTACGACTGTCTCGTTCCACGGTGCAGATGAAGTTGTGTTCACTGTAATCAGGGGCCAAAAGTGCAATCAGTTACATCAGAGGTTTTCAGTGAAAGACAGCACGAGGCTCAGGATCCTGACTGAACGATACTTTTGGTCCATTTTAGCGCTTTTCCAATCATATAACTTCTGGCTAACAATTGGGTATTTCTGTTCTGCTAACTGATCCTGAACTGTGCGGCAAGCTTCGAACTGTTATCTCCACATTATGTGGCAAAATTTAGCCAAAATACTGCAGGACACAAAACTCAATGTACTTTTTATAGACTTGCCTTCATTTATTTTGTAGCTAATTAAGAATATTGACTAATTTTAGGCTGAATTTATAAATAAATTATGGTCTTGCTTGTTTTTGTCATATTGTCATATGTTGACATGTTCAGATATTTACTTTTTTATGTTATTATGTTTTTCTGAGTTTTTAGAACAAAATATTCACTTGGCAGCGTGTTCTGGGGAATAAACATGCATTTTGAGGCTTTTTGTTTTGCATTTTTTGTGATAGTAAGACTGTACTAAAGCTGTTAATCCTGATCGACACACAAACAAACTGCATATCACTGGAATACTCCCTCTCTGGTCAACGTCTCCACAGTGGTGTAGTGTTCCAGCTCTGCGTTAATTGCACACTCAACCGACCACAGACACAGCAGTAATGGAAAAACTCATTACGATAAGTCTTGACAGCACATTTTTCCACGTTTCGGTAGCCGTGATTAGGAACATGGAAAAGTCATCGTGCCCCCAAACTCCAGCTGGGTCTGTCTGGCTCATGTGTTTCCTTCCACCCAGTCATGTGACTAAGATGAAGTCATCTTCACCTAATGGGCCTTGTGCAAGTGCCATCCCTATCGTCCTCACTGTGCACATCACAGTCAGATATGTTTGGTATGTGATCAGCCTGGGTCGTCACATTTAGGGAGGCAGCATTCCTTAATCCAGACTCCCAACATACTTCCCCAGTGCATTTCCACTTTTCTAATTTAACCAACTGTTTCGTCAGGTACGGGCTCATATATTGTTAGCAAAAGCCTGACATCTAGCGGACAATGTAAAAGATATCAGCGAAGCACAAAAAACATTTGCCAGAAAATATATTGCTGCAATTAACATTTGTTGTGTTACAATAAAATTATTACGCATGTCATTATTTAATGTTTTATTATGACTTTTACCACAGAGACCTCAAACAGGACACATTAACAATGTAATATTTTCGTCTCGTTTATTTTGGTGGAACTTCTTTGTTGTAAATCATTTCACTCTCGGTGTTTTCCTGCTTTGCGGCAGATTCCCCACACTAATACGTTTCAGCTGCTTCTTGCTGCCTTAGTTACTATTTAGCTCCATTCCTAGTAAATGTGCCAGTGCTCTATTCTGCAAGGTATCTCTTGTTTTTCTGTTTCTCTTTATTATTGTTGTTGTTTTTGTTATCAATGCTGGTATCAATACTTTTGGTCATATTTAAGCCAAATGTTAGCCAGTAGTTCCTTTTAAACAGCATATTGGACCAATTGAACTTGGTTTAGTGGTCTAAGTTTGCAGCCAATTTAAACTGGTTGAGCGTTCGGCCAATTTTTTTGGGCAAAGCTATTTGTTGTGAGGATTGAAGCACAGCCAGCAGTAAAAATTAAGATCAAGATCATGAGTAAATAAACTGGCACCACAAGTCTTGGCTCAGATTGACCAATATTCTTAATCCTCTTAAGTCCTAAAATGCTGAAAACAAATAAATGTGTTTTTTCCCCTTTTTTTTGGAAAACCACAACAAAACCCTGATTTGATAATACACAAGTCAAGTATTTTTAAGCAATACCTACATTTGAATTGCAAAACAATAAATTGTGTGATTGAGCTACTCTGTAACAACATAATTCTTTTTTTTTTAATTCTGATCTAATGCTATGTAGTAAAACAACTGTGTATACGAGGTAATGGCAATACCTGTTGTAGTGTTAGTAGTAGAAACAACAACACATATTCCAACAAACCAAATGTATATATTGTTATTATTATACTATTTGCTCGTCTGCTGGATAACTAGAAATAGAATGGTCGGAACTGTTCGTTTCGTTGATGTATCCGGACCGTTTAGGAGATGGACCGGTACTGTGTCACACAGTTTAATGTCCGCCAGGCAACTGTGTACGACCGGTGCTCTCGCTGCAATTTAGAATTTAATTTAAGCTTAAATTCGTGCTTTTGATAACTTTTATGGAGGATTCTAAGCAGACAGGCACAGAAGACAATGTTCCTTCTGTTATTGACCGATATTTTACACGTTGGTACCGAGCCGGTAAGTACAAACTTGGAGTTTATTTTTATATTACTGTATGTGAACGGCGAGTTAGCCGTTAATTGACTTGGCACTTGAATGCAGCACGGAGTTTGTTTGATTGAACACAGTGATTTACTGTTGTTGCTTAAAATGAACTTGATGTTTTGAATTTTCTATATTTAGATTTAAAAGGGAAACCGTGTGAGGATCACTGCGTCCTACAGCATTCAAACAGGTAATGGTGGATGTGGTTGGAGTCATTTTTTATATAAAAGAAAAATATTACAGGTTCGTCTGACGTACAATACCATAAAATAATCGCCTTTTCACGGAAACATATTCGCTTATACCTTGCGACACATCCTCACCGACTGGACTTTGTTAGCTACGGTACGCGCTGATGAATACATCTGTGATTGCAGAATATGCGTTGTCACATTAGCAGAAACTCACCCAATCCTTCAGAATGGACGAACAATCAAGAGCATCAACTATCAGATCAGCGACGGCTGTAGTCGGCTGAAGAATAAAGTGTCTGGAAAATCCAAGAGGGTAAATTGTACAAAAACATTTTCATCTACTCTGTGTACAAATATGAGTTGTCATTTGTCTTTATTGATTATTTTACTCTAAGCAGGTTATGTTAAATTAGATATGATCAATGATAGCTAGAGTTTAGAGTGTAATTTATAGATTATGTGGATATATAGGGAATTTTTATTAATTATTTTTAATTTAGAGTTAGATCTGCTAAAATAATAAAGTTTTAAGGTTTACCAATGTGGTCTTATAAATCTGATTGTGGTATTTTATTATTATTATTTTTTTTCCTTCCTCCCATGTGACAGGGTGGACAGTTTCTGACAGATTTTGCGCCTCTGTGTCGAATCACATGCACGGATGAAACGGAATACACAATTTATAGGTAAGGTAGCCTTCTGTTTACCAAACACATGCATATGTAGTTAAGTATTACTGTGTTAAATATTCCATAAGGTAGATATTTAAACTTCAATTTCAGCTGCATACGAGGACGTCTTCTCGAAGTCAATGAAAGAATCTTGGAAACACCAAGTCTCTTACTTGAAAAGGTAAGTTCTTCTCAAACAACAAGGAGCTTAATAAATTAGAATAATAAATTATTAATACATTGTATACAGAATTTTCAATATAGATGATGCGGATATGTTTTAACCCTGTGAACTCTGACCAGCCGTCCACTGAAGGCTACATCGCTGTCATTCTGCCAAAATTTGAGGAAAGCAAGAGCATAACGGAGAATCTCCTGAGCAGAGAGGAGTTTGAAAACATTGTGTCGAAGAGACGCGTTGCTGAGTCACAGTCCTCTTGATAGACCTCCATTTTTAGGCTGGAACTGTAAGGCAAGAACTCTTCATTCTTTCAACTCGAGCACAAGAACAGAAGCTATCCTGGAATATGGTATTTACTTGACAGTGTTTCTAAAGGTGTTTGTTTTGCTTTGTGAATGAGTTAATTAACTACATCAAATTAAGTTACAAGTTTTTTTATAAATGACCCTCAACCAACACGGATTTAATAAAAATATTGTTTATTTTTTAAGTGTCATTTTAAGCTTTTTCGTTGTCAAAATTATAGACAATCCAAAACTAGATTTTTTTTTTATCTTCACTTCTGTTGACCCGCTATAATACCCAGCATCCTTAGCTGCAAAGCATTTCCTAAAGCTTACGGCCTATTAATAACTGTCTCCGTCATCATCACACCATCACCAAGTACCAAAGTTAGTACCCAAGGATGAGTACTATATACTGTATACACGATTCAAGTACCAGAATATACCACATACCTCTAAACATAACATACTGTCGGCGGCTTCACAATGATAGTCTTCATTACAAGTACACTTCTAGGATCCATTTGACATCGGCGCCGGTTCACACTTATTGTTCACTTGTGAAAGTGACTGATTATTAGAATTTACAAAGAACAAGGTTCAACATTGAAAAGTGAAGCAGCTCAGTGCTAAAGTCAGCGTTAAAACAGCAGATATTCATGGACAAACCCCGGGTCGAGTAGAAGCACGTCACCAGTCGTGAACACCAGAGGTCAGACAACTTCATATATTTTAACAGTGGCGTTTATAGGAAGCTAAAGCAGATTTATTTGGCATTAAATAAATTATGATTCTTTTTTGCATTTTGTCTCTGAAATGGCACGTGAGGAATGTTTCTATGGCGCTTGGAAAATCAGACAATAATTACATGGACATTTGTTCTTACAGTTACGAAATTGTTAGCATGTGAGGTGGCGGATGCAAGTACAGCATGAGCCACAATGACGCTTAATAACATTTATGTAACACAGTTAATATTAGGAGACTCAAACACAAGGGTTCAGCAATGGTGGCATCATGCATCAGGGGATTTAAATTGATTTTTGTTTTAGATAAAATGTGCAACAAATTTACAGAACACCACAGAGACTGGACGAGCAGAGGCACATAGTGAAGACAAATGTATGGCTGTGTTGAGAATATCCGTCCTGATTTACCTGTAGTAGTGATGAAGTCATTAAAATATGGAGGTGTGTGCCAGATCTCACTTTTGATGGAAATGGAAAAAAGTCTATTGTTGGCTGATTGTCTCCCTCCAGTGGCCTGAGGTGGAACTGGTGCTTGAAGTTAAAATAATAAAAAGAAAATCTCCCATAAAACCCTCTTGATCCCTCATCCTCCAGCATGCAAACGTTTACTGCCCCTAAACCATCTTTTTAAGCTCTACCTCTGGCTGTGCTGCATGGTGGATGAATGAGGACAAAGGGTGGGTGAGACATTTCCTGGTTTCCAGGAAGTTGAAGTGGTCTTGATGTGCTGCTCCTTGATCAGGAAGTGATCAGAACGAGGTGACGACCATTTCCTGGATTACTTGCTCTCCAGCAGGTTGAGCGCAGCCATGTGCTGCTCCAGTGATTTGACACCGAAGCCGTTGCTGCTCTTGCCGTTCAGCGCCCCCTCCTCTCTGACTGGTGTGGACGTGTCCTGCCTCTCCCTCCAGTCATGTGGAGACCCCAGGCTGCTTCTCTCTGACTTGTACTGAAAACAAAATACATTTTCTCATTCAGTTACAGCTCCTCTGTGTAGCATTGTAGTAGTAGCAGCATTGCTTTTGAAGAAAGCAATTATTTTTTAGCACATTATTTCTTAGGAAAATGTGGATGTGACTTTATTAAAAAAACACAAGTTTAATGAGAAACAATCATGCAAAAAAACAAACAAAAACGAACTGCAGTTTTTGTGGGTAGTTTTCAACAAGCTGCAGTATCTATTGCCTTTTTTCTTTGGTGATTCTATCTTTACAGTAATAAAGTAATAATTTGTGGCATCATCGTATCAGAAGAAAAAAAAATCAGACATGGACACCTTTTTGTTTAGCTTGTTACAGAATGGAAGAAGGGAAAGAACCACAGCCAGGGCACTTCTTGTCGTCTGAATGGACGAGTCCACCTGTGGACAGAGAGGTGTCATCATACTTCACTAGCTTTGAATGAACTGACACGTCTACGCAGTTTGACTTGTAAATTAACATTTCATCACCAAAGCTCTGGCAACCTTGAAGGGACATACTGCATTGTCAGTGATGAATGATAAAGAGAGCATCAGGACAGAGAGAGAGAGAGAGAGAAAGACAGGAGTCAATACATATCAAAAAGCTCTCATTAATCAGCAGTGGAAATGCTATTTTTCATCACATTCTTTTTGATTCCGACCTTTGCCTTTATTACAAGGTGACCTCAGACACCTCATCCCTGTGGATGATCCTCATTAGTTTCTCAGACCTTCATTAATCTGACGCCATGTGTTCAATAATGGTCCTGCGTGCAGATTACTTAGTCATTAGTGAAGTACGGATGTTTGCTGTGCTCTGTTTTTGCTTTGTTACACCTGTCTGTCCGTTGATGCCTTTACAGCTAACTGAGTTCAGTAAGTGTGGACGTATTAGGCATTAAATGTGTATGAAGAGAACATGAGATAGAGAAATCTTATGATTTAGAAACAAATGAAATACAAATTAAAGAGACACACTCAGATGTAGAACATTTACCTTCTGGAAGGTGGCAGTCTTGCCTTGTACTGGAGTCCTGGCCCCCATCTGCAGCTGTTGGCACAGAGCCACCAGTTTGTCAGTCTCTGTCATCACCACCGTCTTTTCCTCATCAACCAGCTGGAACAGAGAGAAAGAGTTGGATATTTATAGGACAGAAAAGACGGCTTTTAGAGACTCTGTGTTGACGTGGTGGACGCACAGGAACTGCACAGCAGAAAATAGTCAGTAAGAGTTCATGTTCGTTACCTCTGGTTACACAACATACAGCCTCAGTTTGTTAACCAGCTGACGTAATGCTTGGATGCTAACAATAAAGTCCATTTTCAGCATGTTTAGAAAGTACGCTCTGACTTCTGGCCTTGTCGAGTTTCATTTTAGATAAAAGAATGTCTTCTGACCTATTCTGCTACGAAGCCCAATGCATTTCAATAGCTTCCCAATTCTTTTAATTTGATGTTTGCCCAGGGTTTTGGATGTTTTGAAGGTTGGAAAAACCTGATCAAAGTAAATGTTATGCAACGCGATGTTTGACAAGGATATAGGGACGAAAGACGGTCACAGACCTCTGAGAGAAATGTCTTAACGTATTTATGCTGTTTCATTCACACACCTTCTAAACTCCTACATCCGTTCCAGTGCCTTTTGACTTGCCCTTGTATCTGCTAGCATCAAAGAAAAATTAACTCTGACTCAGTCAACGTTGACTCCTCAGTTTACGACATCCTTGGACTATGGCTGTTTCGTTATTCCAACCCCCCCTCTCCGAAACATGTCGTCACTAAAGCAGTGATGAATAGCTTTGTTTATTGGGCTACCTTCCCTTTCTTCGGTTTTGTGTTTTTTTTGGGATTTGTTTTTGCCCTTCATTATGGCTTCCAGGCGAAGGTCAGACTATTCAAATGTGTCCTATATAATGATGTTACCACCATTATGATGTGCTAGCGTAGGTGAGTGACTTCTGTACAGAATGAAAAGCACGAAAAGAGTTCTATCGCACTGTAGGAACAGAACTCTGATGTAAATCTGTAGTCAGATTTTTTGACTATTGCAGAAACCAGTGGAAAACCTGCACAGGCTACACTGAAACTGCAGAATGAGAAGGATGTACTTCATTAGCACCGGTTAGTTTGACGTCATTGATCAGGGAGATGGAGATGTGTTCAAGAGCTCAGGCCTGTTGGCAGTTGACTCCTGCTTCCTGTTCCTCTCTGCACGTGTGTACAGACGTACACCTGAACGCAGCGGTGACAAATGGCAGTCGTTAATGGTTGTCAAAAACAGGTCGTTCTAATTACACCTGAAGTACCTGGGGAAGGAGGCAGTGGAGGGCAGGAGCACCGAGGCTTCATTTGTTTTGTTGCATCCAAACTCTGAGGGAGAGTCGATGGTGAGAGTGTGTGACAGCCTTAATTTCCTGCTCTGGCTGTGTGATTTATAAAGCAGACCTGCCACCGTGGCCACGCCACAGTGTGTGATACGGGTGTGTATTATTCTAAGAGGCATAGAGAGGGTGTGGGCACAGGTTCTTATGTGTGTGTGTGTGTGTGTGTGTGTGTGTGTGTACCCACAGATGCAGCACTGTGGCTTGATCAAAGGGAAAATAAACATATTTTTCTTCCCTGGTTTTATTTACTTTTATGCTAATTTCTCCATCATCTCAGTGATTCAGATGATTCCAGCTGTGAAGCAGGGCTCCCCTGTATATAAATATATCTATTTATTTACTTTACTGTGATTGTTATTATCATTCCACTGCAGTAACTTTATTGCTGTTTACATGAGTAACACATCACATATATTTTTACTTTTATAATATGCAGTAGGATATTTGTTTTTTACAATGCACCTTGGGAGAAAAATATTTGGGTTATGTAAATACCGATGACCAATCGCTGTCCACCGCAGTGATGGTGTGTGTGTCTGCCTGTTCTGGAGTAAGATTGATGTGATGTGTTGAGTACAAACCTGAGTGGAAAAAGTGCGCAGGGAAGAGCACAGCTGCAGCCCCTCTTCAGAAAGAACCTTCAAAGTAATTCACACACCACAACAAACGAGACACAAGTTAAAAAAAATTTTCACAGATAGAAACAAAATTAACATTCTTCTCCAGTGCTGCTGGGAAGGCATTCATAAGCAAAAGCAACGTGGACAGATATTTTTGGGGCTTCACTTTTCTCTCCTGCTTATCAAAATGTCCTTCCATCTCTTTTCTTTCCCTCTCTTATCTCCCTCGCTTCTTTGCCAGTGGAATAAATCCTGGCTGACATTTCTGTCCAGGATTTTACAAAGTACTTTACGTTATTGGCAACAATTTCAATTTAACAGGATAAAATCCTCGGTTAAACCTTGTATATTATATTATCGCTCCAAGTCTCTGAAGAAGTCCGAAAAAGGCGCGCTGTACTATTTCTATTATTAGGTGGTTGTTGTTGTGCTCTGTTGGCTCTGTGAGCCGTTGGATGTGTTTTTTGGTTTATTTATTAGGAGTAAAAGAAAAACAGACCTAAAGAGGAGAGAGCATTAGCAGGTGTGGACGTTCATACCTCAGCTTGATGAAAAAGATCTAGCGTTGTTTTCAGCAGCCCCTCCCCTCTGGTGACATCGATATGGGACACAGAAAATGGAAAAAGGAAACAGTGATGAGTTGGATGGGGACAAAATATGTGCACGGCAATCAACGGGACAAATAACCTCCATGAGCTGCAATGATTTCACTGTCACAATGAGTCGTTGTCTCTCAGCTTCTCTCAGACTGGTACCAGTGGGAGCAGAGCCGCGTTCACAATGAGATTATTGACCCAGAGAGTTGAAGGAGTTTGATGCTAATAGCAAAACGCTTCTCTTTCAGTTCCTAGAACTGTTGGCTCCTGACTTTAGATCTTTGGTCAAGAACCGATGTCTCTTTTTTGGCTTTTAGCTTGAGTGGAGTTCTTGACATCTTGGCTGAAACCCTTATGAGTGTTCGTTTTTAAATGTCATCCGAGCCTGTAAAGCAGTGTGGTTGACTTTTGATTAAAAGCAGAGTTTTTACAATTTCTGCTGCGGCTTTGCATCTATTGTAGTAGTTAGTAGTTTGTAACCAACTGGCCAATGGCGAGCTTTGTTGTCTGTCGTTAACAACACAAAAAGACTTAGCATATGCTGAACATATGATCATTTCTGTGGCCGGTGATTAAGTGTTTATAGGTGTTCTTGACCTTTTTGACCTTGACGCCCAATTTGTGTAGTACAAAGTGTTAAAGAACTGACTGATGCATTACCGCCACCATGTGGTGGCAAGCAGCATTGTAACTGAGCTTCTCATGGATAACAAATCTTTGGTGTCAGGTTCAGTTGATAACCTATGCAATTCAGTGGCCCAGGCTAGGTTTTGTGGGCGATCAAACATTTTAAACAGATGTGAGATTGGAATATGTGTTGGTTTGGAACCAATAGCCGACCTGGTGAACAGGTACATGTTGTAGGCCATACTGGCCAGGCTTTGACTCTGCCGGACAACGTCATGTTCCTGGTCCTCCCACTTCTCCACCTCTGTGTCCACGTCTGATGACAGCAGACGGAGTTCAAGCCCCAGCTTGGCCATGCTTGTCTGCTCCTGAACACACACACACACACACACACAGAAACACACAGGAAGACCAGAGAGGAATGGATGTCATTTATTTAATACAGGAAGTCTTGTTTTTAATTTGTCAACATGCTCAGAACCTCTCTAATCAGCAACTTCTATAATTCTGCTTCCTGTGGCACAGCGTGTGAAAACTGCTGGCCGGCAAAATATAAGCCCCGCTACGAAACAATCTCTGTCCGTTCATTACAGGAACGACACAGAGACAACTAAACCGCTGTCAGATCAGGGTGCAATATCTGATGTGATGAATGGAGCTGAGAGTCAAAGGACTTTCTGCTACATGCTACCTCTGCATCAAGCTTGACAGCCTTGGCAGTCTTCAGGTTAGCCGAGTGTTTCTGTGGCAAAACAGACAAGGGATTCATCAGAAAAGAAACATGCCACACAACTGTGGCATTGAATTTTCATAAGTCACGGTGTAACACTCACCCCCGGTCGAGGGAGGGACAAATAAGGTCTCTTGTCTCCTGGGAGAGAAGGATTGTGTTGATTAAATGAGCACATTCCATATAAACACTAAAACATGAACTGTTCAGTATTTATTGGAATATTCATGATTGTGGCTTCACTAGGACACAGTGTCTGTTTTTATATCATAGTGAGTATATATTTATACCGCAGTTGTTCCTCTTTAACGACTGTCCACCTCTGACCCTTTTAAAATCTCATCGTAAAGAAAAAAAAACAACTCAATTTGATTATATAGCAGTAAACTTCATAAATCTGTACAACTCCTAAAGTTTTATTTGTTAAATATTTTGTTAATTGATCATAAATAAATTGAAATAACTTCGGGCAGTTTTGAAGAAGAGTTCCCAATGTTCGAGCTCAAGTCGTAACTACAAGTCACCAAAGACAATAGGACATTGATGTATTTGAGACTTCTAAAACCTATACCATCTATTTAAATATGAGGGACATTTGACCATTATCCAGTGAGGATACAAAAATATGACTTGTTAAAATGTCCTGTTCTTGGACTTTCAAATGAGATGACTCAGTGTTGAATAGAGAAGAGTTATGGAAACATTGACTTTAACGGCACTGACACCAACTAATACCTCCTCCACTCCTTGATGATTACATTTTGAAGACGGGCCCTGGCGGACTGCAGTGATTCATCTTGAACTCTTGTTAAGGATACGCAACTCACTGATTGCTATTTATTTCAATGGTTATTATTGCATTGACTTGTTTCAGAGTAAATGACATTGACAGCAGCGTATTCTCCTCTCCTTCCTGTGTGTCCTTACACCAACTCAACCAGATGTACGCAGGCGTCATTAATTAAAGAAAAAAAAAAGAAACCCACACACACCTCGTCTGCCTTCAAAGACGTCATTTATCTCTCTCACTAACAGGGCCATGTCGCAGAGCTGCGACTCCCACGCCTCGCAGAACACCTCCAGGTTCTCCTTCGCGATCTTACTGGACGGGTGTAGGGCCAGTGTCTGAGCCGCCGACATAATCTGAGCAAAAGTGGGATAAATTGACCAGAAAGAAAGAATTATTAAGTTATACTGATACTATGGAGAGACATAACATTATTATGTAGACAAAGGACAGAGGCACTTGTGTCCAGAGCTAATAAACCATGTAGGCAGAAAAAGACATTTAATCAACACCGCACACAAGAACTCAGCTTCAACTCATATGACCCTGACGTAGGAAACCTGGATTTTCTCTTTACCACATTTACTTTATGCTACTTGTGCTACTGCTGGTCTTTACAGCAGATCTTCACAAGCTCTATTACAGAGCTTGTTTCACACTGACCATTTTAATGGCCTCCTTTACTACATCTGTGATTTTTTGTGGGGTGATTTTCTCTCTCTTGCCACCCCCCCCCCCCCCGTCCCCCAATCTCTAATCTTCCAAGGCATCTCTCCAATATTTTTAATCCTGTCCATTTTCATCACTTTTTAATAAAATCTCAACCTCCTGCTTCAGATCACATCCGACACTTTTCCTTTACTGAAATTATACATCTTGCATAGACACATCATGTACTTCTCTGCCACTCCTGCCTTTCCCAACTTCCCTCTTGGGAAGCTACCATATGCCACATTTAAATCTAATTTGACCTAAGTTGAAAGTTGTTTAGGAGTTTGTCAAAGTTCTTTAAACTTCTTTGACGTCAACACGTCAAGTAAATCAATTATGTCAGAATGAAATTATCATCAGTTGAGAATAAGTTGCTGAAAACAGCAGTATGGTAAATCTCCTGAGACAGACTTTTAAAAAGAGAGAACACAAATATTATGCACACATATTTTGTTCCTACCACCACGGTGTAGTATTTAATAGCCAATTACCCTCTGGGCCGCCCTCTATTACTTTGAGCAGACAGATATATCACCACCAGTGTAGCCCCCCAACACCACAGCAGTATTGATTGACTGACCTTTGAACTTAGGTGCGGAGTCATTACTGCAGAGTCATGCGGGGCCTGACATTAGTACCGCAGGAGAGGAACATTCTACATAGCTAGATAATTACTGCCATGGACGGTTTCCAAGTGCAAACATAATTAGATGTGGGATCGCAGGAGCAGGTGGACAGCATGTTCTTAGCTGTGTTGAATGGATAGCAGGTGTAGGAGGTAAACATAGGCCTTTCCTCTCTGCATCGCATCGATGGAGAATATTGACTTTATCTTTGGATTTCTGAATCTCGACCACTGTGACCGCAGGCTTTAAAAAACAAGAGTTTTGAATTCAAATGGTCTCTGTTTGAATTGAAATTGACCTGTTTTTGTGTTGTCGTCATCAAAGAGGCTTAATATTAAAACTCATTTAAAACATTCCTTTACTTCACCCCTAATTTAAACACTTTTCTAGCACTTGAAATAATTTTAATTGAATTTATTTTTAAAAACTAAGCTATATTTTCCAATTTCTATGACTAATTTATTTTTTGACTCAGTTTCAGTTAATCCTGTCCCTACATTGGACATTTGTTTCCAGTAGTCAGGGTCAAATATCTTCCAGCTGCCAATTGTTTCAATTTTCTAATCAGTTTTTTGACATATTTTTCCTTTTGTTCTGATCAACTTTTAAATATTTCAAGCATTATTTGGAAGTATGTGTTATCTGTGAACTCTTACAACATAATAACATTTGTATCATTGCATTTTTAGGACACTGATCACAGTTGTCTGGTCAGACTAAGGTCCAAGTGCAACAGTTTTCTGCCTTAAAAACAGACCATTCAGTCAGAGCCAAGAAACCCATCAGAAGTTGATGCTTTTTCTTCTTCTTTTGAAGTACTTCAAGTACTGTGATATTACCTGAGGACCAATGACATGGAACGTCTCCTCAGCATGTATACAGGTTATCTCCAGAGGCTCTGTCCCGGATATGTGACACAGGAGCCGACAGGCCTGAAACAAAACAAAACAAAGGAGTTGTTAAAACCACTACAAAATATTTCAGTAGAATGTTTATTTGTTTTATCCAAAGTACATTCTCTAAAACATTCAGCGGTGTATTTTTATAAACACGTTTCTCCAAACAAAGAGACAGCAGCACAAGAATTCCATGTTTTTGAACACACGATGTAGTACTGAATATTTCTGCAGTCCTACGACGTAATACCTCAGATCCCCGGCTCCCTTCGCCGGCATGCCTACCTCCACCAGCTGCTCCTTCTGCTCAGTGAGAGTGCGTGAATACTCGGCCACCGCTTCCAAGTTTCCTTCGGCCCCTGCGGCTTTGAGGGATCGCAAAGGCAACTGCTCGCCGTGAACTTTCAGCAAGTCGGACGCACGAGCGACAGCGGCTTTATGGAGCTGTAGGAAGAGAGAAGAAATTGAATATAAAATTACAGATTAAGGACAGGAGGGAGTAATAGGGGAGGGAACAAAGGTGAGAGAGAGGGAGATGCGAGAGTGAATACTGAGAAGGCACAGAAAGAGGGAGGATGGGGTGAAGACAGCAGGAGGTGAACTGAGGATTTATGGGGAAAGAAAGAGGAGGAAACCAGCAGCAGAGAGCAAGTGACAGACAATCAAGTCAGAGCCGTCCGTCTCTGTCACTGGGAACATCTGTAACGACACAAACGGCAGGTGGGCAGAGTCGAGACAGACAGTTTCTTACCTCACGCCTGAGGTCAATGACGCTTTGGCTCGTCTTCAGAATGGCCACCTCCATTTCCTCTGTAGCCTCTTTGGCAAGAGCAGACTGCTGCTCCAGGGGGAGAATCACGACACAATTTGGTTTTACTATCACATAAAGTACTCTTTAGAACACATTATATACTATTATATGGAACATTTTCAGAAAAGCAGAAAACCGTGAAGTAGTGTCCTGGAAACCCCTCCTATCTGGCCTCATGTACCAGCTGTTTAATGCAGTATAATGTTATAGTATTTATATTTAAAATGTCTGTTTTTCTATTGAACATCAAGTGCTGACATGGCCCTGACCTGGACTGACAGTGACCCTCAGTTTGAGACCCCTCAATCAAAACAATTAAATTTAAATAGCCATTTTTACAGATGGTAATTATTTGCAGAAGCCTCATTTTTTTGTATAAAAATACTGCAGTGTTCTGGCCTTTTCAAATCCCACAATGACCTTCAACTGTAAAGGTTAGCCAAGATGCTACTGTACGCTAATGAAGCAGCAGCATCTGCTTTGCAACTGAGCACGGAGGAAAGAAAGTTTTAAAAAATGCATTCTTCTGACTTGTGTTGCATAAGTCCATTACTAATGAAGGCCAAGGAGATTCTGCTGAAAGAGAAAAACCACGTGGTGTTTCTCTTTGCACCAGAAAAGCCTTGGTGAATTAGTAAAATGTGAAAGAATTCGAGTTGAATACTTGAGAGTGTGAGAAGGAAAGTGCTATAGTTTGAAATGATGTAAACCTGTCTGTATGGAGACTCAGCTTGGAGAACACTTTAGTTTAATCTGACTTTTTATATGGCCTTTTTTCTTATTAGTCCTTAAGCCTTAACTTTATCATAATAACTGTCCATCAGTGTTCTTTTGACGTACCACCTCAATCCAGTGGTGCATCAGCTGCTGTGTGTCCTGACGCGCCTGTTGGCAGACATTTAGGATGGCCTGCCGCTGCTCGTGGCTGGTGTAGGCGGAGTCTGTGAAATCCTCTGTCCTCTCCACCAGGGCCTCCAGCTGGCTGCTCAGACTCTGGGGTGATGAGGCGTACAGGTTGTCCCGCAGGGACTCCACACTGGACTGTGTGAGTGGGCAGAGAGAGGAAGAGGAAAAGAGGAGGGAAACGACAGGATGATTGATTTGAAGGGTGGCAGAGAAGAGAGACAGGCGAAAGCTTTACTCCACCATGTGCTGTGCATAAAAACAATTTACTATCCTATTATCGCCAAGCACCTGACCTCACTTTTATAAAACAAGTAGTGTGGTGTATTGGTCTAGCCTTAGACTTTGGAAATTAAACCCACAGAGAGTGAATTACAGGCAACATTTTGAGTACGCAGCCACTAAAACTGATGCTTTTTGCCAGTTAGACACTGACACATTTTGTGTTTTTATCAGTAGTAACAATCTCTGCTCTAAAGATTTACATAAGCTTTTATAAACTCCAAGCCTTTTATTAAAATATGTAGAATCCCAAGGTTATGTAACTAAAATGATTTTCTTTATTTCTTCCTGTCAACGGAAAAAATGAATTGAGATAAAAAGTACAGTTCTGCCTTTGGTTGAACACGAGGAGGGAAATGTGACATAACGTTTATTAAGTGTTCCACCAAATTAGAGAACAGTTCTGTGGCTAACTGAGAAGTTAAAGGAGTAGTTCAGTTTGGTGTTTGGTCATTGCTGTGAGCCTTGAAACCTGGCTCGGTATTTTAGTGGAAACAATGTAGTTGACAAGCTTTCAAATTCAAGAATTACATTTAATAGAAAGGAAACAGATCAGCACACATTAGATCAGCACACAGAGTACTGTTCTGTATCAGCCCTCAGGGAAGAGTTACCGTGGCTTATGTTCTGACATGTCCATCCTAAAAGTCTCATCTCATTAATCTTCTTTAGTGTACATGTTGATGACAAACATCTGATTAAAAAAAGCTTGATTTTCTCCAGTAATATTGCACTAGTGCACCTTACCTCTGGGCCAAGTTTTTTTTCTCTTTAAGTAATATTGCACTAGTGCACCTTACCTGTGGGCCACTGGTGAGTCTGAGCAACTCAACAAAAAAAATACTTTATAGTTTTAACTATTTATGTCACCGCTTTAAGAATCACAACCTAAAAATGTATTTCTTGGGTTTTCTTTGTATTTCAGAACCCGATCTGAAATATAGGTCATGGTAAACCTGATGTTTCTGTTACGGTCATGACCATCTCGTCTGTTTTCTCATCCTACCTTAAAGTCCTTGATGCCGTTATAGATGCTGGCAGAGAGGATCCTGCTCTCCGCACTGCTGCGCGCTTCGGTTACTATCTCGATGACCTGCTCGAGGGCACAGCGCATTCGGTGGAACACGGCGTCTTTGTTGATCCGTGCCGACTCGCAGTCTGGATGCCGCAGGCAAGTCTTTGGAAAGAATTCAACGTGAAATGTCAAATTTGTGGCCTTTACTACTCTTGTCAACTTCCATTATTTTTTCATGTTTTTTTTTGAAAACCAAAGTTATCATTTGTAGAGTCCGGCTGTGCGACTCGGCCTTTTATTGATTACAACAGATTAGAGACGGTGAACTGAAAAACCTAGGAAGACTTTAAATCATTAGTCCAGAGATAATTCAACCACCAGCCCTGTCCTCAGGCACTTTGGTGACGGCTTCACCTTTGAGGCTGTCAGGAGCATCATGGTGCATTTCTCCAGCACTGCTCTCGCTGCAGCCATGCGAGCCTTCTTCTTTTCATCCTTCAAGTCCTGCGGTACAAACACATGAATGAAGACAAGCCAGATGATAATGGGAATCCTGGGAAACAATGTCTTTTCATCTGTTTTTCATTTGATGATAAACATGTCATCATCAGATGTGCTAAAAAGGTTAACATTGATGTTATTAATTAATATTACTCTTCTGGTGATCTGTACCTTAGATTAATAAAGCATCAATAGAAACTGACCTGACAACATCCTTCAAATACAACTGCTGCGCGTCATCCTATTGTCTTCAAATCTGTCCTTTTTATCTATTGCAACTGGAGATTTTTATATATTTGGAATCTACATATATACATATACTCTTCCTTTCTTACTGTATGAAACACTTGAGCTGCTCAAGCACTTTCTCTGGTTATCGTCGCTCCAGTTTCCTTCTCATTTGATTTGAGGGAGATTTGGAGCTCAGGCAGGCAGACTGTGGAACTTTCAGATAGTGACAGGCCTGAATCTTTGCAATCTCAGGCTGAACATGGCTTTTAAGTGGAGACAATTTTCTTGCGTAAATCAGCACAACGTGCTGAGCCATGACACGTTCCCAGCAACGACTGATCCTCCGGTAGATGCTCTTCTTGTTGCTCCACCTTGTTAGGTTTGCCGCCCTAATGGAGAAACCTGTCATCGCTGACCTTTTCTGTCCTACTTTGTTCCTGTTCCATTTTTGTTGTTCGAATGAAAACTTCTCTCGTTCATGTGTTTCAAAGAGAAGCGGTCGGCCCAAAGGAAGTAGATACAGTATCTTGAAAAAAGCAGCTGAATCAACTGCTCTCTCCTGGCTCTCTGCCACAGATTACAAACACGCTGTGATTATCTATCATTATTTATCCTCTGAGCACGCTTGGCCTCAATAGATAGAACTGGAGGATTTACTAAAGGTGGTGTGGGAGTGAACACTACACAGCCTGGTAAAGGAAACAGAAGTGCAAAGGAGGAAGGCGAACATTAGCTGGAAAGAGACGTGACGTGCGAGTCAAAACACAGGCCTTTGCTGAATTTCAGAAATGGGGCCTGTTGACCCTCCCTCTCTGTCTAAATATCACACACATTGCACTTTACATCACATTCTGCAGTCAAAGCACTTCAGCTGCGGAGCCTGAATATGTTTATCAGCTGAGGATTAGTGGCATCGGCGAGGGTGGAGTTCTATCACCGAAGTTTTCCTCTGAAGATTACTAAAGTTTGACTTTGCATAAGCCTTCCATGACGTTCCTGCACACAGAGTGTCACTTTGTATCTGTTGCTGAATCGTGATGTTATTGTTTGAGAAACATCAGTCGGAACAATTTAGTGCATTTATTTCACGGTTGGATGAACTGGCTAGAAATATTCATTGAGTCAGAAGTAAATAGGGAGACTGTTAAAAACTGGGGTCTTAAAGAACTCGTAACTGCAGAGTTACACGCATTAATAATTCATGTTTGAATGACTTATTTACTCTGGGTTTGCACATTCATGGTCATAATCTTGCTCCAACACCAACCTGCTCATTCAAAATAGAAAATTAATAGAATCAGTGCTTGTTAGACGACTCCGTCTCTAGAATAAACAAAGTGCAGCAGACAAATAGACAAATTACCATAAACCCACAAATAATGCACACACACACACACACACACACACACGCAGCTCTGGGCCATGTTGGATGAAACACACTTACTACGACATACAGAGAGTCAATGACTGTGGCACATTTGAACCAGAGACAGAAGAGGGCTGGTTTGTCGGCAGGCTACTCACGTTCTGTCTGTCTCCTGTGAGGTGGGCGAACTCCACCATCTCATTGCCAAACTGGCTGAAAATCTGAACGAATTCCTGGAAGGTGCTGACTCTTTCCAGATGGTCAAGGGTTACCAGGACCTGTGAGGAATGACAGGATTCAGATTCTTACTGTGAATATCAACATGTGGTTGGTGTTGGCCGTGTCCAGGGGTATACTGCTGCAAATGGGCAGATGGTGTGAAAACACAAACAGACTTTTTTATATTTATGTATAAAGTGATGGAAGTCTTTCTATGCAAACCTAAATGAGCTGAACAAACTAACTCTAACCAGGTGTAAAGAATACAGATAGACTAAATCCCCCTTGTTTTACTGTATTCACTTTATTACATTAAGACATCACATCAATTTACACCAAAGTGAAGCATAAAATGCCCCATTTAAGATCCTGTCCCCTTCAACATAAATACTGTTCAGTACAGTAGTGGACTTTTTTTTTTAAATTTAATACAGATTCAAAATTCAAGAACAATTCAAGAAAAAATTCAAGAATTCAAGAACAGCCATTAAGTACCTCTCCCTGCTAACCTGTATTCTACTTAATAGCTGTCCATGTACTACAGGTGTTAATTTAGCTCCAGTGACAGGCTAGCCGGCACAGCTAAAGCAGCAGCTTTTATCAAAGCCAGATAAAGGAAGGGAAGAGATGTAATTGTGTTTGCCGGTAATGGAGAACAGAGAGTGGGGGGAGTCGAGGGCGGAGGGGGGGGGGTGCTGTTGACTGCCTGTCCAAATGAGACTAACCACTCATGATTAGGCCCCCTGTTTCCATTCTTGGCTCCCTCTATAGCTGCATTTACATCACACTGGCCACTAAGATAAATCCAGGTACGATGCAGCGAGACGAGCTGTGGCTCTGCTTTTGTGTGCTCTCTAAATGTGCTGCTTTTTCTTCAGTTTCCTGCAGAGTGCTCCTTCAGAGAGCCCGTGTTTACCTATTAGGGTATAAAGGACTGAGAATGAGGTTTGCTTAGGTGTGTGTGTGTGTGTGTTTGTTTGTGTAAAAGAGGAAGTGCATGAGATGGTCCTTAAAATCTCACATTTCCATGTCTCACCTTGTTCCGAGATGTGATGATCTGTTTGATAACGATGCGGTCTGCTAACACCAGGACTTTAGTGACTGAAGAAAGGAGCAGGCGCGCGGCCTTCACCATTCCCGTCCTATCGCTGAACACGGTGACTCGTCCGTCTGATTGGGATGATAAAGCTGAACCCACATCCGTGAGCTGTGCTATGGCTTCACCTTAAAGAGGGGAGAGAGCGGCAGAGACAGCGGTGTTCAGCAGCAGGCAGTTTGTTATCTCATTATATCCAGAAAAGAGCCCGACAGATAAAGCCGCGACACTGCGGCTTGATTTTCAGCTCGCCGAATAAACAAATATGACAGGTAGAAAAATGTATGTGACTTTGGAATAGAAAATGACCGGTGGTTGGGCTTGACAGTAATTTGGAAGGTCTGCTACCCAAAGGGGACGCAGACCCAGATTAGAGTGGAGCGTTAACATATCCCATCTGGCCTGGGAGAGCTCTGGGATGCCCCAGGCAGAGCTGCAGGAAAAGGCAGAGCAAAAACAGCCTCAGGCTGATTGGTTTCTTTCTGCCATGTGGACCTACATTAGAGGCAAGAAACTGAAAGATGGGCGGGCAACAGAATTTTCAAACTACTCTCTGAGGTTGGTTTTAATGTCAGAATAAATCAAGTGTCTTCTGTGGGCAACACCCCTCCCCTGGTACAGCAGATTGTCCCAAAAAGAGTGACAGTAAAGAGTCCAATAGTCAGAAAAGTGAGAGCTATGACAGAGACGTAAAGCTCATCTAGGCACAACTGATCCGATATAGTGAATTTTTTAAATGTGTGTCAGTAGTCAAAAATACACCCCTCCCCCAATGAGAATCTCTTTTTTAAAGAGGAAGTATTCACATTTTAAGGGGGTAGGGAGGAGAGGGAAATCACAAAAGAAAAGCCCGGAAAGAAGCGGGGTTAAGCAGCGGGCCTTTATCAGGTCATGTTGCTTGGCTGTCTGTTTGATTTGGCTGGTGCTTTAAAGAAACAGCACAGAAGGACTGATTGCATTTGGCAGGCTGCTTTTCAGTGCCAGCTCTGCTAAACAGTTAAAACACAGGGGGCTGGCACACAGAGGCAGCAGACGAACCCCAGTGACACCAGCACGGGTGGAGAGCACCGGCCGACCCATCCACACCGCTGTACCACCATCAGTGGACGTATCTGTCGATATGAGGCAAGATCAATCCACAATCAATCCAGCCTCATGATGAAGTCATCCCAGTGGCTCTCAAAGTGGGGGGCGCAGAGCAAAATAATTTCATTTGTTATTTCCCTTTAGTTTCACTCGGCTGCACTGATTTGTAGTTTTATTCCCATTGTTCAATAAGAATAACAACAGGAATAGCAGCGTTGGATGAGGCTTGGTGAACTTTCATGAACTCCTGCATCAGGGATTACCACGTGGTGCGTTCCCAGATGATCTTCTTCATATTTTGGTTGAAAAAAAGTCATTCAGTTCAGTTTTTTTTATTCTGTTCAGACCAGTTTGTCCAGTCCTTTGTATTTGTAGAAGCAGTTCTCTGTAAACCCTGGAGATGATTGTGCAGGAAAAGTCCACCAGCAGAATAACTGCTGGTGGACACTCTGTTCTCACCAGTGCTTAAATGCCCAGTTGCTTCAATGTGATTGGTTGCTTAGTTGTTTCTGCATTAAAAGCAATGAGGCAGGTTTAAAAATCATATGTCAGGGACAATGACTTTTTTTCTGTGTAGCATCTGTTTGTTCGGTACTCTCTTTAGTGAATTGGTTATTATTGTGAAGTCCTGTTTTCTTTTTTATTATTAAAGACATTTCCTGACCTATTACTCAGATGTAAACACCACCAAATGGTCGTGTGGACCCCGTGTGTTTGTCGAGTGTGAACGTTTCCAAGGCAGAACCAGAAAATGGCACAGTGAGCAGAGCCTGAGTGAAGGAGACAGATACCAGGGTCTGACAGAGGCTGTCTCCACTGACCTGCCTCACTGGATCTTTCTGCTGCTCTGACAAGGGGCAGCATCTAATTAAACTACTGCTTACAGCCTTCCTTCATTTCATTAATTATAACACACGAGGCTGACACCTGTCTGACCGAAATCTCCCTGTAACTAAGTATTAACAAGAGCGTCAATCCTTCACTAACTAGCTTTTCTCTTAGGACCCCCTCTAGTATGCAGGGTGAATTGAATGACAGAATCATTCAAACTTAACTGTAAAAACATGGCAAATATATCGTGGTGCACAGATCTCCAGTGATGCTGGGCACTCTTTTCATTTTTTATTTTAATTTTATTTTGAGCTGCAGCCTGGTGGGAATGTTTATTAGCAGGAAATAGACCCTCTAGGTGGCAGTATTGCATTTCATCATCATTTAAAATTCAATTGAGGCAAGTTTGTGGTTCATAGATAAAAATGTTCCGAGTCCTCATACGTTTCTGTTTAGAATACAATCCTGAAATCCAGTGGGTAAAACGGCTAGTTCCCAGTACTAACACAGATACTAACTGTGGTTACCAACAGAGAATATCGCATTTTCTGAATACTCTACAAACGAGACGTGTGAAGGAAAACTGTGAAAACACTTCCAAAATAAGGCAGGGAGACCACTCATGGTGGATTTTTACACACTCCAAAACCCCACAGGTGTGAACATGTAGCCCTCACTTGGCCAGACATATGGAATGTTTGCATCCACGTTGTCTTTGGTGTTTGCTTCTGCTCCCCGTAGCACTCTTGTTTGTTTGTTTGTTTTTTTTGCCATCTGCACAAATTAATTCCATCTGAGGATTAAGCGCTTAAACTCCACACGCCTTGGTTCTGCCAATAAAAAGCTATTACCATGCTGTTTTGTTCAAATCCTTATCCTGGCTGATACTGTTTCTGTTTTGCTCTGAAGAAGGCTAAATTAGACGCTTGTTTTGTTTGTGATGAAACATCTCGCCAGCTTTAAATAAGTGTTCCTCCAAGCAGGCGGATGCAGCTACAGAGAATTGTAATAAGTTTGACAGAGGGAAGGAGACGCGGTATTGACCTGCATTGTCACTGTGTATTTTTAGGTATGTGCGCAAATAGATTGCTGAGAAAAGTGTTTTTGACAAAGCTGTCACCTTTTTTTCCTCAGGTTCAAGAGGAGCTGGCAGACGCAGGCTTTCTTCTTTCTTTGCATCTTGTTTCTACCTCTGTTTTGTCTATATTTTTTATCTCCCTCACACTGCAACACTGCCAAAATGACAACATCCTCAGCTTTACCAAAAAAACCCAATGCATGCAGCCCTTTAAACCTTTCTATCAGAATCCATTAAGCAGTGCTTTCCAACTCAGTGCAGTCACATTAATTCACTTATTCCTCACAGTACCCTCGGGTGGAGAAACAATTTTTTTTCAGCCCTCACTTCCAACCTAATAACAACAATGTCTTTAGAGTTCCCCTGTTGTAATAGTGTTTGGCAGCCAAAGTGTCCACACTAATCAAAGTTTGGTCAAATTTGATAACTCTGTGAGGCCTGGAGGTGATGCCTGATGCTTTATGAGACTGTCAGAGTTTGTTAAACTGGGTGGAAATACCTTAACTGCTATTGGCTGACCTGCCCAGATTAACCTTGTGACGCCGAGATATGATATAACGTGTAAAGACGTTGATTAGGCGTAGATAATACGATGTGTTCATACCTGCTCGCCGTGCCTCGAAACAAGCCTGACCCATTTCATCCTTCAGTTCTTGGTTCTCTAAAGCGATGGCTTCCCCAACTGCGACAAAGCGTCCCACCGCCACACTCACTGCCTGACCGACCCGGTGTATGGCTGCCAGGGTTCGCTCTGACTTCTTTGGCTTGTCTTTATGGTTGATCAGAGTGGTTATCTGCAGAGAGAAAGAGTAAAGAAAAAAAGGGTCATTTTGAAAAACTCACACTGAAATTTACTGATTTCTAAAAACACAATGTGATGACTATGACTATGCATTCAACACCAATATGTTGGATTCTTGCTAAAACAAAAAAATCTGGGCAAAATTAAGTGATCCAAAAACTGAAAAGTTCAAGGGTCGCAGACCCCATGTTGAACACCGCTGCCTGACACCTTGTGCAATATAAATATAAGTATAGAAATGTAAGAAACCTTCAACCCCCAACAAAAAGTGGTTGAGAATGGGTGGGTTATAAAGCAGAGAATTTATTCTGAATACCAAACAAACACATAATTAAAAAATGAATATTTTCACATTTATGAGGCTTTAACCTAACACAATTGGTAAATAAAAGTTAATTATTAATAAAAAATAGAAAATCTTCTAATTAGGCAAATATTTCACAGCTTCCCTGCAACAACACCTAGGGATACTTTAAGTTTATCTGTATAACGTCAGAGGGATTATTTTCTAAAGACAAAACGAAATGAACTTAAACTCAAAATAAAAGATGAATACCCGCACATTTATGAGGTTGTAACTAGACGTAGTTTGGCAATTAAAAATCCAATCAGTTATAATAAATAGTCTAACCTGATGCTCAGTCAGGCATCAATTCAAACAAAGAGGATTTTTAAACGATTGTATGAAATATCTCTGAAGTTCTCTAATTAACCACTGCTTTTAAAACCATTTACGAATCCAATAAGATTTATTTTAGGCTCATATTTATAACAGTTGTTGACAAAAGAAACGAACACGGTGCACCTTATACTCTGAGGTAAATAATAACATTTTAATGAGGTTTTAGCAGCGCCATGCCACAGCTGTTTGTTTACCCATTTAATTAAATCTGTATTTATCTAAACATCTGTTATAACCAGGAAGTCTCGTCTGGAACATTACTTAATTTGCTTATCTTATCTGAGTCCGTAGTTTCAGGCAGGAACGTTTACCAAGGAAGAAATGACTTTTGAATGGAGGTTATAAATAATGTGTTCGTTGATAAAAGACTTGTTTTCAGCTCAAACATCCATATACGACAGTTTACACACTGATTCACACTTCTGTTTACTTCATATGAAGGACCTCTCCGTGGTAAATACAGATATCAATTATTCATGGGTCAGCCCTTATTAATAATAAATAATGTGTGTGTTGGTAAAACGATGGGTTTTTACCAGTTTTTGACGTTGCTTCTGTTTAGTCAGACAACTCTGTCCATATTTTAATTGCTTTTGTGTATTTTGTCATAAACTTGGTGTTTATAAATAGTGAACTTGTCTCCACCGGGAGGCAGCGTTATTGACTCTGAGTCTGAACCACTGGATTTCTTATGTAACAGATCAGAGATCACAACTGTGTCAGGGCTGTGTCACTGACACTGTCTGTGCTCTGTTGACTTTAAAGGGAAGTAAATCATAATATTTACACATGTGGAACCACATTCTACTGACGCAGTGGTTATCAAAGTAGGGGGCGTGAACCTATTGCAGGGGGTGCACAGCATGGGAAATTCATTTCAATTCCAGTATTTTCTTCAACTGTGCTGCAGCTGATTAAATGCTATTTTCCTAATTGAGTGCTAGTGTGCTAGTGCTAGTGCTAGTTTATTACTTGCCTATACTTTTGAAGGATTTTTTTTTTATCAATAATGTTCAGCAGAGATTTAAAGCGACACCTCTGACTGTGTCCATGTGAGCAGTCTGTACTAGAATCTGTAACTGGAGCTTGACATAAAGAAAACTCTACAGTTCCACACTTCAACTATATATAAATAGTTTTTGTGTGTGTGTGTGTGTGTGTCACCCTTTGGTTTCTGTCTCAATCCAACAGATAAAATATATCCATATTTTCAGCTTGTCATTGTTAGCAGTAATCCCATAATGTCAGTATATATTTATTTTCTTTGGATCTGTATTTTCCGACACCCCTTCTGTTCTGCATTACGACCTGCTCATGAAGCAGTTCCTGGGTCTGTTATTCAACACTCTGTCTTTATTGTCTCAGCTTCCTGTCCTGCCGCCACAGTCTTTTTCAATGACTCATCCACTCAGAGGTGGACACTTTCAAAACACTCATGTTTGGACATTGTGTAGTCTCAAAGAAGGAAAATGAGGACACTGTAAAAAAACATATTTATATGGGTGCAAACCATGTAACACATTGGTACCTTCTTGATTTCCTGCAAGTATCTGGTTTGCTAAGATAATTAAGTCGACAATACTACCTAAAACCCAGGAGACTACAGAGCTAGCATTTACAAGAATCTTGTCATAAAAGTGGGATGTACTGTCTATGTTTGTTTGTAGGTTAAACAGTTCAGACAAATGCTTTCTGTAACAGTAAGAAAACAACAAAAGTATGAAGAACATGAATTGACGTCTGTGTTTGAGATCTGGCAACCGTTAATAAGGATTTATTTTCTTCATGACATGGACCAAATCAGTAGTCAGTTAATTGCCTGATCTACCCCAGCTGGGCGACAACGGCCCACATACGTATACTATCAACCTGCTGCTCATCATTTTGATTCGTTCAAACACCTGACAGTTGAAAAAGCCAGGCCCACTCTTCAGTCTGTTTTGCAGTTCTTGCGTTTACTTTGTGTCCCACTTTCTCTGCACCACTATTGCTAATTTTGAAGTTGGAAATGGATCCTGATTCTCCTTCCTGTTGCCTAGTCCACCGTTCTAATCAGATCCACTGCCTGCCTTCAGTCGGTCTGCCAGGCTGCATACCTCAGTCTCTGGTTTCTCCTCCTCTCCTTCTCCTTGGCTTCATCCGCTCTGGATCATAAACCTAAACTAATGCCCTTTCACCTTAACCAGTTCAAGTATGGACACCAGCAAAAGTTAGGACAGAGGATCTTGCTAAAAAAGTTTTAGCATTGTACTTTTACAGAAAATTCTGACAAAAAAAATGTAGAGTCACAATCTCTCTGTGCTCGCCAAAACTACATTAGCGAATGCTCCGACTTAGCAGTATTTTTCCTGTAAGATCTTTTTGGTCTTCTCCTTGGGGCTGTCCCATTTTTAAAATATGAGTTGTTAAAGCCTACACAGAGATTCAGGTTTGGCAGTAAAAAATAACAAAAAACGTTTTTTCAACATTTTTATAAGGTCTATAAAGTCTAGACACTTTTATCTGAGCGGAAATCGTATTTTTAACTGCCAATTGTCACAGCTTCTAACTGTCTCCCTGCATTTCTCAAATGACCACAGACTGGGCCGCGCTGAGGTTATGTCTGGACCACACGTGGCCCTCAATCCACTATTTTAAAAGGCAGGCTTCACGTTGTTTTTTTTTAAATTATTATTAGACTAAATTGGTTCTAAATGTGTTCCATAGTGGGAGATAAAATGTCAGACTTCATTTGCATTCATTGCCTTCATCACGTACTGTACAGTGCAGCAGAAAGGCCTGACTGAGCTTGTTAGTCATGTGAATGTGTGTAGGAATACAAACAGCAGGGGATGTAAAATAAAATGTCTACGAAAGAACGGAGAGGAAGAGAAAGTGACAAGTAGACAGAAGGAAAAGGAAGAAGGTTGAACAGGAGAGCAACAGAAAAACCCAATTACTGATCTCCCTGTGTGGAGAGACAGTGACAGCTGAGGGTGAGGTTAGTTTAACAGGTTTAAGACAATGTGCGGCTGAAAGATAAACAGTGAGAAAAATATCCTGTGAAAAGAGAGAGGGTTGAGAGTGAGTTACCACTGCCTAGGATTTCCTTGGTGGAGGATTAGTAGGTGGGTACACTGGCTTGGCTGTGCAAACAGGAACAGGGCAGGGTGGAGAGAACATAATATTGATACAGTGTCGTCTCACGAGACAGACAGACTTGTGTATCGGAAGAACATGTTCAGTCTCATTGTGCAAACAGAGAAATATATATAAATATATATATTAAAATAATCTAAAAACCATTTTTAAAAACTTGTCAAATATATATATTAAAATAATCTAAAAAACATTTTTTAAAACTTGAAATACGGCCCTGAATCAAACCGCTTTGATGCCTGTTTTTTCAGCAAACCGCATAAACTCGACATGTTTTGTTTCTTTTCATGAAAAAGTGAACAAAACCGTCAGCTCTGTTCAGCTGTGAAGGTTCAACGCCGCTTGTTTACAGTGATCAAATAGGACGCTGAAGTTGAACCGCTGCAAATGTCCTACCATTGTTGGCTCTTCATCTCTGTTTCCCAAACCCTCTCCCCTCAGTAACAGGCCTGAACACCAGCAGTGTTTGAATGCCAATGAGCATTAACAACTGAGCAGCATGAAGCCCCCCCCCCCTCAAGCCCCTAAAGCCTACAAAGGATTTACATATGTCATTAAATTCATGGAGAAAAAGGGCACAAATGTTGCTTCAAGTGCAAAGTTGGTCCAACAGCAGAGTCGTTTCTTCACGGACTTAACTGGAGGCTGTTTTGAAATGGTGAATTTTAAAAGTAAAATTACAAAGTGCATGGTGGTGCATAACTGAAGTGGGAAGTTTTCATTTGATGCCCTTCAGCCATGTGACCTGACTAAGAGAAGCTGTGGTTGTTGACACCTGTGCTTCATTCATTCAGTCATAAAAACACACTCCAGCCCAGTGAACTCCTGTTGTTGTGTTTTTTTGCCTTCTCAGCGTCAGCCGCTGATCCCCAGCCATTCACCTGGCAGGCCTTTGTTTCCCATAGTGAAGGAGATAATTACAATACCTAGACAAAAACCCACATCAACAGCTAATTCTTAGCAACACAATGCAACAGAGCCCACCCCATTGGCCAGCAGGAAGCCAGGACTTACACCTCAAGGACACAGTCACGGACTATAAATCAGAGACTAACAAAAGTGGGAAACATTTGTGGCTGCCTCCCATGGCTACTGATTCACTTTCACTGAATGGGAATGCTGGGAGGAAAATTTGTCATTATCATTCATTCTTGTTCTGTGTTTTTCTGTCT